TCCACCTCTGTGCCTGGGAAGAGGAGAAAGCAGATTTGGTTGAATAGGAAAAATGGTGAAATCATCAACAAAGTAGAGGGAGCACAGAAAGAAAAAGTATCCGGAGTGTCTGTATTCATTCCATATCAAACTGTTCCTGTATGGTTTTTGCTTGATTTTTCAGTTTTTCTATAATAAAACAATAAACCAGAGTAATGTATTGTAGTTATTTTGGTGTTTAATAGTATTCTGGGGAGTTTTCATCCACTTATTTTAAATTTTGGATGAATGCTTGCTTTGGAATTCTATTTTTGAAGTATGGGCATAAGATCGGTTATTGTTCCTCCAAGTCCTTCTGTGCATCTCTGTCCTACTGCATGATTATAAACCTTCACCAAGGGCTTTACTTTCTCCCTTGGGGCATCTTATTGAATACTTGCATCTTCAGTAATTCATCTGGGCCCAATGCTTTGTCTGTTTTAATACTTCTAATTACCTAATTATGTACTATAATGCAGTGACAAAACCCTTTTTCATTTCACTCTTTTCTTAACCCTTTTCTTGCTTAGGAAAAACTCTTTTTGTCTCTTTGTTGTTGAGAAACTCTTCATTATAGACAGCCGAGATATTTGCCTGGCTTCCCTTTATTGTCTTTCTGTTTTATGAAGATAATTGCTTTATTGAATGTCTTTCTAGTTAACTCACATCAGGTACCTTGGACCCTGGTTATTGGGCTCTAGAGTCGGTGTTTAGTCATCCTCGATCTCTCACTTCCTGATTCACTCCCATTCACTGCAGTCACAGGAGAAGGTATCCGAAGGAGAAATCGAATAGTCTGGTTGTCATAAACAACTTTCTTGACAGAATTAGCAGCCATTCTGTCAATTATAGATCTGTTATGTCCACCAGTATTTATGAGTAATTATTGGAAACCAATAAGATTTTTCCAAATTTATGATGATCTGTACTTCAGGGTAACCAAACATTGGTGAAGGGGAATTTTTATTTATATATGTATATTAGACAATAAAGGGAAAAAAATGATAAAATTATAGTCTTAACATTTTATAACCTTCAGTGAAGTAATGGACCTAGGCAATGCTCATCCGTGGTTGCTAGCATCATAAAAGGAGAGATAAGTTAACAGTACATGCCTCCTGATAGAATTGCAAAACACCGACTATACCAGTTATATATTGCTGCATTGTAAGCCACCCCAAAGCTTAAAGCAACAGCATAATTTATTTTGTTGATGAATCTATAACTTGGGTAGATGTGAGCAGGACAGTTTGTCTTTGTTCCATGTGGTGTTGGCTAGGCCAGCTTGAAAGTCAGGGGCTAGAATTTCTGAACACTTGCTCACGTACATGGCTGGCTGTTGAAGCTGACTCTCAGCAAAGACGTTCTCTTGAGCTATGGCTACAGCACCTCTACACAGCCCTTCCATGTAGCTGCTTCTTTTCCTAGCAGCATGGTGCCTGGGTTCCAAGGATGTGTCCTGATGGAGAACCAAGCAGAACTATGTCACAGCATCCCTTATGCGGCATTCTCTGGAAGAAGCCATCATGAAGGCCAATACATATTCAAATGGAGTGGAGTTTGACTCACCTTTTTTATGGAAAGCATGCCAAAGAATTTGTAGACATGTACTAAAAACATTGTGCTGCCTATAAAAACATGTACTAAAAACATTGTGCTGCCTTTGTTGACAGTTGAGCCTTAATCTGATTAGAACTCTAGACCTAACTACCAGTTTATAGGAAATACTAGAGGCCTGGTGCACAAAATATGTGCACTCTGGTGTGTGTGGGGGGCGGGGGCTGTCCTTCAGCCTGACCTGTGCCCTTTCGCAGTCTGGGTGCCCTCAGGAGATGTCTGACTGATGGCTTAGGCCTGCTCCCACCACTGCCAGCCATGAGCCTGGCTCAGGGCTTCTGGCTAAGCAGCGCTCCCCCTGTGGGACTACAGTGACCACCAGGGGGGAAGCTCCTGCGTTGAGTTCCTGCCCCCTTATGGTCAGTGCATGTCATAGTGACCAGTCATTCCAGTCACTTAGTCACTTAGCCTTATAGATTGATAGATAGATAGATAGATAGATAGATAGATAGATAGATAGATAGATAGATAGATAGATGATAGATAGATAAGTGAAGTAGTTTGGAAGCTACCCTGTTATCTACCCAGATGCATTGGGGCAGGTATTAATTTCTCTGCTTTAGTGCACTTAATTATTAACTTCTGAGTTCAGCTGGATTATCTTCAGAGACTCTTTGAATTTTAAAACTTGTCTGAATGTAAGTTCTTTTTCCAAATTCTGAAATACTAGAAACTTTTAATTTTTTAAAGAATTTTTCTATATCTTTCTACCTTACTTATTTAATGCTATGGGTTCTTTATCATGATTTAGAAAACAATCATGCTTTCTAAATAAAGAGGGTATCATGAAACTTCATAAATGGACACTTTAGCATTGTTGAGTAGAATTGTAGATGGTGTGTTATTGCATAGGGACGCTATGTCTGACTAATACACATTTTCAGTTTATTGGGTATTTGCTAAAAGTGGGTAATTTAAATTACCTACCTGCAATTTAATTCTTATAGATCTCTGGTTTTTAATCTTGCAAGTGGATAGTAGGCATTTAAATGAAAGTAATAATTGGTATGTAATTTACATTTTTAGCAATTAGGTATTAAACTCTTACTATATAACTTACAGGTATTTGTTACAAAGTAAATGTTGTAGTTTTTAGCACTTTTCTCCATAATTCATTCAGAGTGTAGCAGCTACACAGGATTTAGTTTTAACAGTGTACATAGATAATTTGCAAATAATAATTAAGGAAAGGACACACAAAATCATTTGGCCACATGACCTTAATCATGGGGCATGGAGCTTCTCAGAAGGATTATTCTAGTTTTAACTTAGTGACTAAGTTTTTCCAAGAAATTTCTTGACAGTTTATTTTATAATTACTTACCTTTCTTGATTATTTTTGGAATATTTGACTTTGTAAGGGGTTTAGCAACTTTCTTTTGTCCCATATAAACCATATTAAAAGTTTTTGTGTTTCTTTTCTACTTGGGTGCATTTGACATCTTTCTGGAACTTCTTTGGCTTCTGTGATCCATATTCTTCTCTGAATCTATGTTCCGGTTAATTCTCTCTTCTTTAGCAGCTACAGTCACTTGTCCCTGTTGAACTTTCATCCTGCATAGGGACTGTCTGGAGGGCGTGACATTAAGGTTCATGCAGAGATGTAAAGTAATTTTGCTCAGATCTATGTGTTGTTCTTTACTGGCCACCAAAATGGAGGCCTCCTTGCTGCTAGAGAAAATATCAAATATCTGTTTCTTGGGATGGTTGCACATTAGGCAATAGTCAAATGAACAGATAAAGATAAAATAGGCTTTAATTTATTATAAAAATTAGGATCAGAAAAGAGATGCTTCATGAACCACTAGCATTGTTCACACAGGAACTCAGCCTAGACATAGGGAAGTGATAACTCCAAAAGAGGATTAGATAGAAGCATAAAACAGCTGAAGTCTCCAAAAACAGAGGCAGTGAACCATTCTAATCTGAAGTCAAACAACTGTTAATGCTCTTAAAAAGGCTCACCAGGGGTATTTTTCTGTTTCCATGTCCTGTGCCTCCATGCAGTACTCTTCCTCTCCAGTCTCTCATGCATTCTCTTAGCCACATCCATCTTCATCACCCATAGCACTTGTACTCAGACTAGTAAAGACCTCTATTTCTTAACACCTGCTACTTGTGGGGCGCTGTTTTTGGTCCTTTCACATATCTCATCTTGATCCCAAGGTCGGTGTTACTGTCCCTACTTAACGGAGGAGGCACTCACTTGTCAAGATCACATAGCTAGCAATTGTGCAATAAGCTTTTCCTTTCAGTTTTGAGATTTTCCCATGTCACTTCATTATGATTTGCTTTTCTCTTTCCTGTAATCTTCCTTAAAGCTTATTCCCACTTAGAGTTACTCAAATACTATTTTCTTTGTTATTTCCCTATTCAAAAAAAATATAAAATCACTTTGTTGCACTTCCTCAGTTGTAAATTCAAGCATTCAAAGCTCTTTCCAGACCTGCCCCACTTTTCTTTCTATCCTGTTTTCCCGTTCCCAATTGGCAATACTTTGTGTACTTTTCTTTCTAATGACTAATTACCATACTGAGCTATACACATGGAATACTCTGAGCCTTCTATGCCTTCATATCTTTTCTTCTGATTTGGTTACCTTTTCTATTTATGTTGCATGTTCCTCCTGTTCTAAAAATTCTTTTCAGACCTTTTGTGATTGAATCCATTGGACTGTTTACTTCTAAACAACACCCCATCTTCCATTATTTATTCATTGTGCATTGCATTGCTATATATTTGATCTATAGCTTATTGTCATTGTATATTTTGTCTCTTAAACAACTATTTAAGTTCCTTTCAAGCTCATACTCTGCTCTTTTCTATTTTACATGACCTCAAAGAACCTGGTAGACATTTTGATTCAGACCATGTAAGCAATACTGATTAACTTGTTTCCTTTGAGGTCTACATTATAATTAGATAAAATTAGCAATGTGGTCATGTAAAATAATTTAAATATTTGCATTAAAAAGATTTTTTTTTCAAAAACTTGGTAATAACGTCACATTCTTGTCCTATAAACCAAATAGACGAAAACAGAGCACTCCCCCACCATAAATACATAGATTATAATTCATTTTGCTTAAAGATTGTTGTATTCACCATGTAGTGACATTAAGCATATGGAAAACATTTGAAATATTTAGATGTTGAAGGTTATTGCTTCCCTCTGTGATATCATAATTTCCCTTTTCTCATCCTTTTTTCCTGAACATGTAAGTCCCATCAATGCCATAAGTTGCATGGCAAATGCAGACGTGCACTAAAACTCAAAGCAGCCCTCGCACCTCTCAGAGATGAGAGTTTGAGGGTAATTCTTAGAATTGTGCTAGTCATTGCAATTCTGTGTTTTCTTTTTCCAGGTTTCCTGAAATGCAGTTTTTCCGACAAGAAAATGTGAGAAAAATTCTTACAGATGTTCTTTTCTGTTATGCTAGAGAAAACGAGCAGTTGCTTTATAAACAGGTAATGAAAATATCGTACAGGTGGCATCCATTGACTCAAAATTTCCTATACAGCTTGACAAATGATAGAGCAATAATGTAGCCTTTATTGTATCCAAAGTTGTATCATAATAGTACAGCAATCAAAGGGCTGCTTGTCAGCTGCACGGTGAGAAAAGTAAGCTCATTGAGGCACATATGCTTCTTCCTTATTATAAGACATTTCACCAAATTGTCTTCTATAAGGCATTCAATCTTTTCTTTCAACTTTTGGGAGTTTGTTTATAAACAACATCTTTGAAGCCAATCTAGTAATAAAACTTTTCAGAGTTGTATGCATAAATATTGTTTCTATGTACAGCATTTATAAAAATGTGACATGCTGTGTAAAAAAATTAAGTATCCTTTTACTCTTTAAAACTTACCAGTAATATAACTTCAGAAAGTTCCTTTAAATTTTTTGAAATTTATATGATATTCTTTCTGATCCTTATATTTGATTCATTCTTATTACTAAAGTAAAGAAAATGGTTGGATTATTTTTTTATTGAAATGTAACTTGTTTACTTAATATAAAAGGAAATATCTAGGTTTCTCTTGAACTTATTGTGATACAATAAAAATAACAGCAAGTTGAGCCCTGGCCATGTGGCTCAGTTGGTTGAAGCATTGTCCTGTACATCAGAATGTTGCAGTCTGTTCCTGGTCAGGGCACATATCTAGGTTGGAGCACATACGGGAGGAAACTGATGGATGTTTCCCTCTCACACTAATATTTCTCTCTTTCTCTCCTCCCCACTCCCTCCGTTCCTCCCTTCCCCTCTCTCTAATATCAATAAAAACATATTCTTGGGTGAAATTTTAAAAAAGAATACATCAAGTTGAATATTTTTAAAAAAATATATCTTATTGATTTTTTACAGAGAGGAAGGAAGAGGGATAGAGAGCTAGAAACATTGATGAGAGAGAATCATCGATCAGCTGCCTCTTGCACACCCCCTACTGGGGATGTGCCCACAACCACGGTACATGCCCTTAACCGGAATCGAACCTGGGACCTTTCAGTCCGCAGGCCGACGCTTTATCCATTGAGCTAAACCGGTTTCGGCATCAAGTTGAATATTTTTATGTCTTTCTCAAAATGTACATCAAGAGGGAATTCAAACTGAATTAATAAATTTTCTAATAATCAAAAATTATGACATGTCCAATTGACAGCCACCTAATTTCAGTGTAATATAACAAAATATTCATATGGTAAAAGCAATGTATTTAATTTGAAGAAAACTTGATCAGTTTAAAGATAATAAACCAAGTCATATTACACTTGTCCTAAATAATACATTTGTTATTTAGTGCATAGAATACCCAAAGGAACTAATTTTATCTTAGTTTTAATATTAGTAATATATCTTTATATTAATTACATGGTAATTCTTTGAAATACAATTACATTATGCAAATCACTGTTTAGAATGGGAAATGGAAAAAAAATATCCATCCCATTCACAATGCCAAACAAACTATAAAATAACCTAGAAATAAATTTAATATAGGCACAAAAGCTATATGAAAAAAACTATAAATGTTATTAAAGTATATAAAGCCAGACTTGAATAAACAGAAAAGTGATACATGTTTTTAGAAGAGAAGACATTAAATAAAATATAACTTCTTACCAGATTGATGTATAAATATAGTATCATTATAGTGATAATTTAAGTGAAAGATGTAATTTTTTAAAAACTGGACACATTTATATTAAATTTAGTGCCAAAAAGCTTTCCATTAATTTTAATGTACATTATGTAGCTTAGCTAATTAAGAGCACTTGTCTAGGTGCATATTGTTTTATTTGAATCCAGCTCCATCAGTTACTAGCTGCATAGACAATTTACTTACTTAACTTTTCTAATCCTTAGTTTCCTTATCTATTACAGGAGGGCAATAATAGTATTAACTTTGTAGAGTTAAAAACATCTAGTTCTCACTAAGGGTTCATGTTGGTAGTTGTGGTGTTAGTATTACTAAAGGCCCAGTGCATGAAATTTGTGTGCTTGAGGGGGTGGTCCCTCAGCTTGGCCTGTGCCCTCTTGCAATCTGGAGATCATAGGGAGTGGGCCTAATCCATCATCAGTTGGAAATCCTTAGCGCCACCACAGAGGTGGGAGAGGCTCCTGCCACCACTGCTGTGCTTGCCAGCTGTGAAACTGGCTTCTGGCTGAGTAGTGCTCCCCCTGTGGGAGCACACTGACCACCAAAGGGCAGCTCCTGCGTTGAGAGTCTGCCTCCTGGTGGTCATTGTGTGTTTTAGTGACTGGTCATCCCACTAGTTTGCATATTAGCCTTTTATTATATAGGATAATTATTATTAAATATATCGGAGTTGCTAGAGAATTTAGGGGAAAAAAAGAATGACAAAGAGAGATATGAAAATTTCTATAAATATTCTGTGATCAAAGCACTATGACAGTAGTGTGGAAATCAGCAGTAGATCATTGGAACAAACTAAGATGGGTCTAATTATGTATGCAATAGTAATATGATAAGATAGGACATTTTTATTGACTTTCTATATTTGGCTTTATATCTAGAAAAAAGATTAAATTATACGTTTATTGAAGAACAAATTCCAGATGAAGTAAAGATATAAATGTAAAAACAAGAATTAGACAAGTATACTAGAAAAAATTTAGGAGAATATTTTTACAATTTGTGTAGGAAAGACTTTCTCAAACAAGATATCTGGAAGTTATATGCAAAGTTACAACACTAAAAACAAACAAACACACACCAAAAAGGGAGACTGGGAGAAATTAAATCTCTATCAGTATAGCATTTTTTTGGAAGCAAATAAAAGAAAACCCCATTTGAAATGACTTAAACTCTAAGGATGTTAGAATCATACTTTGCAAGAAGTCTGGGGGTAGAATGGTTTTGCAGCATTAGTTTTAGGCCCTTCCACAATGACCCAGGTTTATTTCTATTTTCCCATTCTTCTCTTCTCATTGTGTTGCCTTTTATAATGAAGCCTATCCCCTCATTGTCTCCTCCTCTCCTCTTCCGAATACTTGAAAATACTTCACAGTAAAAGATTTGATAGCAATTCAAGTCAGAATAAAATTATCCTAAAATACAGATTTGTTTTCCTTTTTCTTTTAGAGAAAGAAAAATCTAGATTGAAGAAGTCTTAAAATAATGGAAACAATTTCCACTGACAGAGCAAAAACATAACTGCACACGCCATCATTTGTGATGTGTGTAGCCATCTGCATTTTTAAGAAAGACTAAAGAGGAATAAAGAAGATCAAATTTTTGATAATTTAGACAAAGTCTATCAATTATTAAATTAGAAAGTATTAGCTTACTCCTGGGTATGAGTTAATAAGACTTAATTACTCCCTGTACATGTATAAAATCTCATTGATTTTTTACAAAGAAAAAAACCTTCTGTAGAAGGACTGAACATTTAGCCAGATCAAATTTAAGAAAAAAACCTTGAGTTTTATCACAAGCTGTTAAAGCTATTATTTTGTACTAGGTGACACCCCGTTTAACATCGACCATATTGTTAATAGTTATGGGGTTTTATTGAATTAATGAGACTGTTATCATGTAGTAGAATGTCTTGCTGAGTTAATTGAAACTGCAGAGATTATATAAATGGTATTAATGAACTTTGACTGCCTGATGCCTCAACTTTAATAAAGACTGCTTGGTGGGCTAAATGAACACAGGCAGATAAAAGAACAGGTTCAATTTTGTGAGCCTACAGGCTGTTGATGAAGAAAACTTCGTTACCTTTATTTTCCAATGGCATGAGTTCGCAGTGCAGTGACTGCTAACAATCCAGCAGGGATAAAGGCTTGAAGCAAGCAGAAATGCTGACATTGTCGATGGCAGCAAAATATAATACACATTTTGGGAACCAAGAAGTATACTGACACTACATTATTTTGTATTATGTTTTGTCAAATTTACAACATATTGAATTTATGATGAATCTGTCTAGATAATTCTCTTTTCCTTTAAAGATGTCTGAATACTTGCCACTTGCAATTATTTTCTGGGTTTTACTAGTCTAGAATTGAGAGTAAGGCCAACAGTCTCTTCCAAGTCTATTTAAGAAAATATCCGTAGTTTAGTTGGAATGTAACAATTAATTGGTAAAAAGTTGTCTTCAATGTTAATTTTTATTATAAAGAGCACCCTATTTATTGATGTGAAATACTGGAATATGGTTTAGTGTTATTCTTTTCCATTTTTTATATTGTAGGCCAAATTTCACCAATTTGTTGCTATGTTGAGGGTCGATAGTTCATTTATTCAGTCACTGTGTAGTGAGTGCTTTTTATGTGCTGAGCCTATAATAGGATCAGGGTTTGTGTGTGTCTTGTTCTCTAGACTGCAAGCTTCATAATAGTTAGGAGCTTGCCTACTTTATTCACTTTTGTATTTCCAACACATCATAGGTAATTAATAAATAATTTTTGAAGTAAACAAAGACAAATGATGCCTGAACAAATAGAGAATGTGGATAGAGTAGTATCACAGAAATTAGAGGGAAGAGAACATTTAAACATAAGGTGAGAGATGCATTTAAACAATAAATATTTCTTATTAAATTAGCCATAATTAGTTAGAAGATATATCAAGGGAAAAAGACCCATTTAGAATCACTACCACTAATAATAACAATAAAAATCTAGTAACAAACCCAGTAAAAAATATGCAGGTCTACAAATTTTTGGATTGGAAAATCTGGTGTTCTAAAAATATCAATTTCAAGTTTATTTTAATGCAGTGCCAATAAAAATTGCAGTATTTTGTTTATAATTTATGTATTGAAGTTTCCTTGGATGAATAAACTTAGAATAGGCAAGATAATTTTGAGAAAAAAGGATAGATAGTATGGAAGAATAGAATAAAGTATAGGTTTTCTCTACAATAGTAAAATTATTTTTAGAATTAAAAAGTATAGTATTTGATTTTTTTTTAAGCACACCTTTTACTTTGCTCTCAGACCCTAATAAACAGCCCAAGAAGCAAAATGGAGAAGACTCACCATCTCCTCTGAGATAGCATTTATTTTGTGTGTGTGTGTGTGTGTGTGTGTGTGTGTGTGTGTGTGTGTACACTGAAGTTCTTATTAAGAATTAGAGTCCCAGTGCATGAAATTCATCCACAGAGGGGGGGTGTCCCCTCAGCACAGCCTGCACCCTCTTCTATTTGGGACCCTTGGGAGATATCCGACTGCTGGTCTAAACCTCTCACAATCCTGGACCACTGGCTCCAAATTGCTCACCTGCTTGCCTGTCTGGTTGCCCATAACTGCAATCCCCTCTGCTGGCCTGGTGGTCCCTAACTGCCCCACTGCTAGCCAGGTTGCCACCATCTGCCCTTCTGCCAGCCTGGTCACCCCTCCCGACCCCTCCACTGGCCTAATCGCCCCATGCAGCCCGAAGTTCAGGCATTTGGTCATCCTTTACTAAGCTCCCTGCTGACCATGTCGCCCCACGCAGCCTGCTTGTTCAGTTGTTTGGTCATCCCTCACTAACCTCCTGCAGGCCTGGTCACCCCACACAGCCTGCTTGTTTAGTCATTTGGTCATCCCTAGGGCCAGCCAACCTCCAAGGCTTGCCTGGGCCTCGGGCTGGCCCTGAGCTCCTGGGGACTGAGGGGACTGGGCACTGCCATCTTGTGGCTGTGGGTGCCGCCATCTTTGAGGGTATGACAGTCAATTAGCATATTCCTTCTTTATTGGCTGTGGGCGCTGCCGTCTTTGTGAGGGCATGATTAGCATATTCCATCTTTTATTAGATAGGATATTCGAACCAATAGAATACTGGTAAAAGTCTGGGGAAAAAATAAGAGCTAAACATTCAGTTTATGGTAAAGATGACATTTCAAAACTCTTAGGAGAAGAAGTGTTATTCAATAAACGGTGCTCACTTAATAAATTAGTGAAAGGTTCGTAGGTTGGCTGGGGTTGCACACCTACGACATGAGGCCATAATGTATCAAAAGAGCTTTTATTTCAAGCATATGTCTGCAGGTGGGCTGAGTCCAAAAAAGGAATTAGCGATGACTGAAGGGAAAGGCAGGTTTTTATTAGCTTCTGCTGGCTGCTAGCAGTTCTGCCGATGTACAGAGCTTGACTGGCATGTCCTGTCCTTGGCTCCTCCCGGCACCAGATGTCCAGTAGTAGGCTATGCTGTGCTGAAGGCTGCACATCCAGGTCTTTCTACAAGATATCTGCTAAGCACAATTAGTTCCCTCTGCCCTGCTTTTTAGACATGGTTATCTAAAAAAGATTGCTTATGGTAATTTTTCCTCTATAACAAGTAAGTTGTCAGTGGAACATAAATTATTTTGTAAAAATATCAAGTTCTTCTTACTTTCACATTATTTTGTGATAACCATTAAGTTCCTAAGAATAACACAGTGCTACTAGATTGTGCAGAAGGCTGTGTGACTATCCTGTCATAGGAAGTTATCTGATTTCACCAGCAAAAACATTTCTTCTCTCTGCTTGTATATTTTATTCTTGTTTCCTGTAAAGGTAGTATTTTTTGTCTTGTCTTTATAAAAGATAACCCATAGTTATTAAGCAAAAGGGAAATGATAATTTACTCACTTTCAGAGGCATAAAAGTGCAATCTATTTTTAACTTGCTAAAACATCTGTGTTTTTTAACCCTTAAGAGGAAAAAAAAAAATCTCAATTAGCAAGGCAGGTACTAATTTGGAATACCTTATTTCCCCACAATAATAGATTTTATAATATTTTTTAAAGGCAACTAAATAGAAAATATATCTTTTTGTATCTGCCTATTCATATAATTCACAGGTGAACATCAATACAAGGAACAAGAATCATATTGGTGAAATCACTAAATATGTTTATAAGTAATCTTATAGTTGAAATTAGACTGGAAAAAATTTAGGTACACATCAGATTAAACAATTTGAAAATCAAATTTTCAAAACTTTGTTTCCTATTATACCAGTTAAAGGTTCTTTCTTTTATTATCCAACATTTCCAGCTAGCTGACTTCAGCTCTTTCCAAATCTACAGACATCCTAATTTTGAGCCATTATATAATGAAAACATTGGGTGTAATTTCCTTAGGTCTACAGTTCTTAGTTGCCCTTCTTACTGCAGATCTTTACACTGTAGCTCATGATTGTAATTTGCATAAATGAAATTCATATTTATGAGTACAGATCTTGAAGCAACTGACAGGTGCAAGGTTGTCTACCATGCCAATTTATTGTTTGTTGTGTCGTTTAAAAGAGAACTACTCTCCATGTTTTAAAGCAGAATACCATACTGTGGTTGAATTGGAACCAAAACTAAAATGAAATAAAAGTCTCATCTTGCAGCTTTTCATTTTTATGTTTTTCTATTATGGAAATGGTAGCAGGGACTGGTTGAAAAAGCATTTATCTGGGCTTATTCTGTCCACTAGTGGACTACAAACACCCCACCCTTTCATTTCTCTTGCTCTTGTGTTTCAGGGCATGCATGAGCTCTTAGCGCCTATAGTCTTTATCCTCCACTGTGACCACCAAGCCTTTCTTCATGCCAGCGAGTCTGCTCAACCAAGGCAAGTTTTTATATGAGCTCCATCTGTTTTACAAGCCCTGCTGTAATCTTTTCTTGCCTCAAAATCCTTTAACTTGAAGATACTTTTGTAAATTGTAAACATTTGGTTGTGTTTCATGTGGCTGATTGTTAATCCCACTTAGTTGTATTAACATAGTTAATAGTTGTAATCTTAGTTCAGCTAGGGCAAATTTGGAAACATAAATATCTTTGCAAATCTTATATGTATACCAAAGAAAGACATAATGAATGGGTCAAGGAGAAGAAATTTTTGTTGTAATGGCAAAGTGCTAGGTTGATTGTGTTCATATATACTATCTTCTAATGCTCCATTCTTTTACTAGAAGCTGTGTGGGAACCTTGTCTGTAAGATACTTTCTCCAAGTTTGACTCAGTTCAGTTCATAAGAGAAAGATACTGAAATCTAAAATGAAATAAAAGTCTCATCTTGTAGCTTTTCACTTTTATGCTTTTTTTTAATTATTATTATGGAAACTTCTAGTCTAGTTTTTGAGATACATTAAACTTAATCTTTCCAGCAAATAACTTTAGTAATTGTATTTAACTTAAGCTAGTAGTAAGAATTTATTTTCTAATTTAAGATACCCTAACCGATGAGCTGAAGAGAGGCAGCTAGGAAGCATTTTAGAAATAGCAAAGGATTATAAAACTTTGTCAGGGATATTTCACAGACTAGTCTAGTTATATGCAGGAAAGATAAAGAAAACACACATTATCTTTATTAATCAAATGTAGCCATCCCTTTTGCTGAACATAGACTAGGACCTTTGTTAAATTAACTTTCATTTACTATATTACACATTAGTATGTCTAGTTCCTATTGGTTTTTTTTTTTTAATTATACTGAGTTTACAGGATCTGACTATAGTAATCATGTCTTAATTACTTTTGTTTAGTTATTTTAAAAAATAATAAGGGTAAAGTTAGTATGAGATCCTGTTTTTATGTCAGTTTTACCTTTTTTAAAACATGTAAGTGGAATATACTTAATAGGAAGGTATAGATGATTGAAAAATTTGCTTTTAAATGAGTTAAACATGCTTTAGCTATTTCAATCCACTAAAATGTAAATCCAACACTAGAGTAGATTTGGAAGAGGTGTTGTCACTGATTAATTTATATTGAAATGTAGTAAAAATGGAAGTCATTAAAAGAAAGTAAGTTAATGTTTTGATATGACATATTTGATGAGTAAACATATTTTTGGGCATTATTTTAGAAATAAGTAATAGATTTTGGAGTAATCAATGTATTCTAGATCAGGCACTTTCAATCAATATGTTGTCACATTTGTATTTGTTATTTGTTATTTGTTATTTATTATTTTTTATTTGGAATAATTAAATAGTTATCTCATTGTGGTACAGACAAGGCAGCTAATTTGTTTTTTATATTTAGAGAAAGGAAGGATTTCATTTGTTAATGGAATTGTTCTTTTTTACTAAAAAAGAATAATTTTTTTCATTTGCACAATATATGTAAGTATAGAGTAAGGTAACCTCTGAATCACCTTCTGTTACAAAATGACACATTTTGATTTGTATGTATTACTTTTTTAAGTGAGGAAATGAAAACGCTATTGAATCCTGAATATCTGGAACATGATGCCTAGTAAGTACAGATACTTTCTTCTGATATTTTTATTTTTTATACCATATTTACTTTAGTGAAGGGTTAATAACAGTATATTATTTTTTTACATTTTAGTGCAATGTTCTCACAACTTATGGAAACTGCTGAACCTTGGTTTTCTACTTTCGAGCATGATAGTCAAAAGGTAATTCATATAGTACAGATCTTTTCGGTATGCTTGAAGGAACAAATAATTTCAGTAAGTAATGACATATAATCAGATTATAAAAGCCATTATCCTATATAATAAAAGGCTAATAGGCAAATTGTCCCCTTACAGGGAGTTTGACTAAGAGTTCGACCAGGGCATGGGGCCAGTGGCCAACTGCCTGAGCCCCTCCCCCCCAGCCGGCCCAGCCCAGTCAGGATGGATCGGCTGGACCCCACCCATGCTCGAATTCATGCATCGGGCCTCTAGTTATTACTATATAAAAGAAAATATGAAAATACCTGTGGAATAAGATTGAACTGGGATTTAAGCCATAACTATAATAATATTGGCAAAGATAATATAAAATTTTTGTATAAATAAATGGAAACTTCTTATATGTGTGTATGATATTCATACAGTGTAACTTATTTAAAATTATTATAAACTTTTAACAAAGTGCATTTATCTACCTGATCTGTTGCTATCCTAGTGAATTGATGGACATATTATAAACTAAAGTGCATAGACAAACTTTGTAATAAATAGGCTGTTTTACTAATGCATCACTATGGAATTTACACATTTAGCATCAAACCATTTTTTTTTACTTTCTCATATCCTTATTTTTTAATTATAAGTTTTATTATGATATAATTAATATACTGTAACATTCACCTTTTTAAAGTGTACATCAGTGAATTTTAGTATATTCACAAGATTGTGAAATATCCTCACATCTAATTTCAAAACATTTTCCTCACCTCAAGAGGAAATCCTATACCCAATAGCAGTCACTCCCCATTCCCTCTTCCCAGAGCCTCTGCTGTTACTAATCTACTTTGTATTTATACTTGCCTCTTCTGGGCATTTCCTATTAATATAAGTAGAATTATATAATATGTGGCCTTTTATGACTGACTCCTTTCCTTTAGCATAATGTTTTCAGTGTTCATTCATGATGTACCATGCATCAGTACTTCATTCCTTTTAATGGCTGAATAATATTTCATTGTGTGGATATACCACATTTTGTTTAACCATAAATCTGTTGATGGACATTTGGTTTTGTTTCACTTTTTGCTTGCTATGAACATTGTGTACAAACTTTTGTGTGAACATCTATTTTTTGTTCTTCTGGCCTGTCTCTAGGCATGACATTTCTGAATGATCTGTTACTATAAACAAACATATATGCTAACCTAGAGATCATTATGGTATTTTCATTTTTATTATACAATATTGGAAACATTGCAAATTATTCTGGCAAGGTATATTAAGAGTTTTGGGCACACTATATTTTATATGATTAATTTATTTTATATTGGTATAATTGATTGCATTCTGGTTAGAAACCATGTATTAGTCAGTCACTTCATTCCATCTCTTAAAAAATGAAATGGATAACTAATGCTTTTTATGCCTTTGGTTTAGGTCAAGGCAAACTACTGCCTGCAAGCCAGTTTGGCCTGCCATCTGTTTTTGTACAGCTTGTGACTTAAAATGGCTTTTACATTATTAAATGGTTGAAAAAAATATGAAAAGAAGAATAATAATTTGTGTCAGATGAAAATAATATGGAATTCAATTTCCATGTCCATAAAAGAAGTTTTATTGCAATACAGCTATGCCTGTCTGTTTACTTGTTGTCAGTGGCTGCTTGCATGTTACAACAGCAGAGGTGAATTGTTGCAGCACAGACTGTATGACCTGTCAAGCCTGAAATATTTACTGTCTGGCTCTTTACAGGGAAAATTTGCCAACCCCTGGCCTCAGTGATAAAGTCTCCCTTCAGCAGAACTTGTTACCTCTGTAAGGGTGATCAGAGCAGAAACTTGCTGTCACTGTATGTGATGAACTACACATGTTGTGGAACAATAACCTTATATTCTTGGCAAGTGATTTGATAAACTTGTAAACTTATGTGAGCATCAGAATTTTGAGCAGAGAGTATTTGAATACATTTAATACAGGCATCATGATTATTTTATACAATGGTCATTTTTATTTTATAACTTTACTATATCTAAAAAACTGAGTGATAAACATGTGAGTTACCATTTTTCTTAGTTTTACCTACTTATGTTGATATTACTGAGTCAAGTTCATGAAAATGACTAAGATAATGCAAAGAAGGGCATTCATTTTATCAGTGAACACATAGATGCTGTGGCCTCTTAATATTTATATTAATTACTTTCATATGTCATTGAGTAAAATATTCCTTAAAAGCACTTCTAAAGAATCCCTTTTTATTGTTTTCTGATTCTCTCATCTTTTTACAAAGAAGTTCGAAAGATAATATACTACTCTCATATTCAGTTCTTCTAGTTCCTTTGAAAATTCAGTTATATTATTTGCTGCTTATTTTAGCAGACTTGTTTTTCCTTAGACCTGCTTGATGAAAAAAATCAGTGCATTGGTTTACATAAAGGCATAAAATCATTATCCCATTGCAGTTTGTGGACTGGCTCTACTCTGCAGAACACATTAACTACTTAATAAATGGTTAGAAAATTTTTCTAGTTTTATTGGTAGTTGTGGCTGTCCCATTTGATCATATTTGTTAAATGCAAATAGCATTCTTTATTATAAGAAATCCTGATGATAAGGAAGTATTTTATAATAACTCCAGCTTCTCTTTTGTTTTCACTATTTAGCACTAAGTGATGTGGAATATTACTTTTGATTTTTTTAAAATGTAAGAGATTTTGTTATAAGTATTCTGAGCACAGGGGAAAACTTTCAAGCTATCTATCTATATAAAACCCTAATATGCAAATAGACTATGGCAGAACAACCAAACAACTGAACAACCAGTCGCTATGACATGCACTGACCACTAGGGGTTGTGCATGGAACATGGTGGCAGGCATTGGCCATGGTGGGATGGTGGAGCAGGTGAGCGGAGGCACCAGGCCAAGGTGGGACACCAGTCACTGTCATCAGGGTGAGCTTCTGGTGGTTACTGAAAATTCTTTGCTCCCGTGCAGTGTTCCCACCTGGCACTCGCATCACCTGGCGCCGGCCCCAATTGCCCCTCAGGGGTTCTCCTCCTCTCCCTGATCCTGAGGGGTGATCAGGGCTGACAGCTGCCTCTTGTACCTGCTGCTGGCACTGGAGCCACTGGTCATATCCGCTGCCGGCGCCAGCCAAACTCACATCTGTAGCCGGCACCAGATATGCCACTTGCACCCATTGTTGGCACCTGGCACCAGTTCCAATCACTCGGCACCATCAGCAGATGTGAGTGGCAGCTGCCAGCTCTGATCACCCCTAAGGACTTCTCCACCTCCCCCTGCTCCTGAGGGCTGAGCAGGGCTCACATCTGCGCTCATACTTGCTGATGGTGCTAGCCCTGCTCACACTGGCTGCTGGCACCAGCCCCAATCGCTCCACTCTGTCAGCAGATGCAAGTGGTGCCAGTACCATCAGCGTGTAGGAGTGGCGGGTGCAGGGCCGCCGGCAGAGAGGAGACTGGGTCCACAGCGAGAGGAGCTGTGGGGGGGATGTGGAGGATGAGCAGAGACTTACCCCTATGCCCACCGTAACCTTGAGGTCCGCAGTTCCTTTCAAGGTACACAAATTCATGCACTGGGCCCCTGGTAGTTTATATAAACTTTATACTAAGCATTTGAAAAATAGACTACTTATACTATTGATTTAATGATAACTCATTCTATAAAAACTAGAAATTGATTATATGATTTCATTAAGTTAAATATTTTTAAATAGCTTAATTTATGATCACTTCTCTCCAAAGTTAGTGACTATATTTGTGGTAGTATGTGTATTCCAAACCCTCAGAAGACTGGATACAGTGATCTGTCTTCCATGGGATTATTAGCAACCCTGTGTGAGGTCAGTGCCTCCACTTATACTGTATGGAACTCAGCTGCACAGGGTTTTCAAGAAAGGAAAACTGCATGACCAAAATACATAAAATGTTAAATTACTTGTTTTTAAAGAAAATTTGGCTTCAAAATAACCACTGCTTTTGGAATGTGAATAGTATCTTACAATTAACACCCATTCAAGAAAACCCAAACACTTATTTCAATTTAATATCAGTAGGAAAAAATTTAACAAGAATTAATTTTCTAAATTAAATTTAAAATTTCTAATTAAAAATTTTAACCATTAAAATACTTGTTATTTGAAGGGAATGTTAGATATTACAAAATCAGAAAAAAGTGTCTTGGATGTATTATTTTTATAATAAATGACCACAATATAAAAATTTTCTCTTATCCTGTTTAAATAAGTGAATAAAAACCAATTGACATATAAAAATGGATACAGATTTATATCCTTCAGACCTAAAGACACTAAGGCAGACATGCAGGAAGTAAAAAGGATGCATTTATTTTTAAAAATATATGTTTTTATTGATTTTAGAGACAGGGATATATATATAGGAACATCCATGAGGGAGAAACATTGATCGACTGCCTCCTGCATGTCCCCTACTGGAGATTAGGCCTACAACCCCGCATGTGCCCTGACCTGGAATAGTCACCTCCTGGTACATGGGACAGTGCTCAACCAGCTTAGCCGCAGCAGTCGGACAGGACACATTTTAAGACCAGAAATGATCCTAGTGAGACAGATGGAACCCATTCCAGGAAATGTTTCGTTGTACTAACATAGGCTCCTCCTCTCCTCTGTGGTTTCTACCAGCCTGATTAGCCATGCTCTCATGTAGAATTCTCAGTTATTTTCTCTGTAGTCCTCCCTTCCCAACTACAAAGGCAAGAGCTTTTACCTTATTTTTGTGCCCCTGAATCTGGTCCAGTGATGAAAAGATGATGTTAATCTTAGAGATCTCAAGATTAGGAGGCCTAGAAGTAGTAAAGGAGGCCTAGAAGTAGTAAAGGAGACTGAGGTAATAGAGAAGACAATAATGAAATAGGACTTTACCCTCATTTTTAAATATACTTGGGAGCTCTGGGGAGGGGATATTCAGGTAAAAGAATGCCATCCCCAGGATCTGTAGAAGTGAGAATTCTGTAGCCTCACGAATGAATGAAAAGCCTTAGAAATCAGGCTAACTAATTTGGTGGGTTTTTTTCTTCTTGAGTAAAAATATTTTAAGGAGGGCAATAGATGGATTTGAAAGCAGACTAAATTAGGGACAGTTGGACCAGTTAGGATGAGAAAAATAATTAGGGCTCCAAATCAGCTTATAACAGTACAGCTAAGGAAGAGGAGACAGTAGTTCTGAGAACTAAAATTGGTAAAGTGGGTGTTCTTATTGGAGGATGGGTTGAAGTATACATGGGGAAAGGATAAACATGTGTTTGAGCAAAAGATAATAAATTTAGCTGTGGGCCTACTTGCCAAGATTTGAATGTATGGGGGAAACACTCGAGAGTTCTAGGTTATGAATACATATTAGAAAATCTTTGGAAAGGGTTTTGGTTGAAACACTGTGGATGACTGAGATTACCCAGGGAATTGTGTGTAAAATAGAGAATAAAACTAAGACAAGAACTATGTGAAAAAGCAGTATTTGTGAAGCAGAAACATAAATTTGAGCTACAGCAGTAGACTAAGGATGAATGATAGGCAGACAGTCATGGGTGCTGCTATAAATCCCATTTTAGAGAGGGGTAAAATCAAGGACAATATCAGATTTGAGAGGGTAGTTTTTGAAATTTTTAAGAAAGCATTACAAGGAGTTAGTTATATCTTTCTTACTGTAGAACATGGGAGAAGATATAGTTGGTCCATATAAATTGTCTTGTGTGTTTTTTTAAGTCAGCTATATTTTAGTCTAGAGAGTTTTTAAATGTTGTCTACTTAGCTATTTAAATTGATAAAGTACAGTTAAAGAACATATTATTTTCTAGTTTTAATTTCCTTTATTTTCTGACTTTTTTATAGCTTTGAGAGTTCAAATTAAAAGTTTTCATTTGCTTTTTTTCATATTCCAGTTTTATGCCACAAGAAATAAGTTTTCATTAGAGTGTCTTTTAGGTACTATTTCTGATTAGATAAACTGCCCATGGACAGATAGACTACTGACCACCACTACCTCTAGCCAGAATTATCTTGTAATGCGTAACATCACAAGATAAATGGCTCAAGAGAATACAGGTAGAAAGTATTTTAGAGGACATTTTCTGGCCTTTATGTTCTCAATCCTCAGTCTATATGATAATCAGCATATGATTCCACATTATAAGCACTTGTCATTAGATGATTATTGATTCTATTTAGACTAGTTATTGGTACTTATTTAAACTCCAATAGATAAATGTATTTAAGAATGATGTGCACATATTTGTTAATTTCAAATTGAAATATAATACTTGTTGTATTTTTCTTGTTTTTAGGGGAAAGAAACACTGTTGACCCCCATCCCCTTTGCTAGACCACAGGACTTAGGGCCAACAATTGCTATTGTTACTAAAGTCAACCAAATCCAGGATCATCTACTGAAGAAGCATGATATTGAGCTCTACATGCACTTGAACAGACTAGAAATTGCACCACAGATATATGGGTTGTAAGTATTAAAAGTTTACATTGCAGCTCTACCTAATTATGAATTACTATCATTTCCCAATGTGTAGATTTATAAGAATTAAGAGCAAGAACTAACTGGTTCAGCTCTATTTCATTTCATATCTCTATTCTATTCTATGTGCCAGGCTCTGTGCTCATAGCTTTTACATATGACACTTCACCACAAAACTGAAACACCTTAAAGGTGTATTTGAACTATTGTCAGTAATCTTTGAAAAATTACGGAAAATGGAGGACATGGCAAGAATACTTATTATGAAATAACTTTGTTTTAACATCTGCAATATTATCAAATGTATTTACCTTAATATCCAACAATATATTAGAACTTTAAAAAAATAGATAAGTCTTTAGGAAGGGAGGTTTTTTATGTGGAACTATCATGTACTTACCCGAACAGTTTGGACAAGATAGAGCTGCATTTTCTCTCCTATCAAATTGCCAGATTTGATAAAAACTTTTGACTGAATATTTTTACTTCACCATTTTCCTATTATATTGTTTTTCTCAAAATGAAAAATTTGTAGACTGAATGATATTACATTTAGGCTTGAACTTTAGTTTTATGTAACTGCCATGTTCAATGATATGGATGAATATATTGTGACCAGGTGGAGTGAGGTATCTGACACCAGGCTATAGGGCTTTGTCATTCGCCCTGCACAGAAACCCAGCTTTTTAGGATCTGGAAGGTCATTCTTTTACCTACTTCTGAAATGCTTCAATCTGATTTCTTTAATATCCTCATTAAGTAATTGAATATTTCAACTTAGCAAATCTCATGTTGGTGAGTTTGATACCATCACAGGCAGCTAATTCCATGGCAGATTTCATATACCTCTCCACTATAAATTAATGGGAAATGGTTCTTTCTGGAGTCCTGAGCCCCCATATACCAATTGCCTTTTGCTTTGGTATAGCCCATCAATATGTAGCTGTCTTTCTGTACCTTGATCAGCTCTAAGCAGGAGGGTGTCCTGTTTTTTGGTATTTAGAACAACAGTGACAAATCAGGGTAGACCAGATCCTAATATGAATTTTCTCTCCTATGCTTCTGTGGAAAATTCAGTTTTAAAACAGTAGTAAATGTGAGGTGGTTTGATCAGTTACTTGGTCAGAAGTTTGTCTCTTTGCCTAGCTATTAGATTTATAAGTTTTCACATTAAGGAAATTTAATTAAGCTGTGTATGTCTTAGCTTTTAAAGTTTATATTCTTTACTTGATTTCATTAATGTAGGATGATTGAATTTTTCAGTTTAATAGTTTTAAAAATAGAACTGCTTTAAGCCATCATTCCTTCAGCATTTGCTTTATTAAACACCTACTGATGTCAAGCAGTGTGCTCTATGTTACATCACTTGGGTATTTGAGTAGTATTAATAGAACATGGAATAGCATCTATAGAAGGCTAGAGAAGAACCAGTCGAAATAATTTTTGTGGGAGTGCAGATTTTGAATCTGCAAGTGGAAAAATCCTCTACCTTCACCCCAATGTTTCAACAGAGGCTCAGCAGTCCCCAGCTTAGTTTATCAGAAATCAACTAAAGGGAAATGGTAAAGGGAGAGAAATGGTCCTGTCCCTTGGACTGCAAACTAGCTATCAGAAATTTTATGGATGGTTGCCTTATGAATGAGAGATTGGACAAAATGGCAAATAAAAGCCATATCAAATTTGCACACAAATGACTACATTCATTTCCATGAAATCATGATCAAACCAAATGCTTTAACCAACCATGATTAGTTCTTTAAGCCAATATACAAGTGTTTTTATCTTGAAAATGATTGTGGTTCTTCAAAAGCATGGTCACTTTAATAAGCTAGACATCTATTTTAACGAAACATTATTACTCAAAATACTTTTGGAATTTATTTCCTTTTTAAAATTATCTTCATTAGCAGCCTATGTCATGATGGTATAATAAAATAATTTTTTAAAAAACGTTTGATCTCAAAGTATTGCCTAACCTCATTTCTCAGGTTGTTTATCACGTGTGGCTCTAATTAGAAGTGTTAGTTACTTATGTGAATAAAACTCATCCTCAGAGCACACCTTTGGGCTTCTATGAGAGGTAAACAAAAAGCCGACCACGGCCTCTGGCTCTGAGAGAAGAATTTCACAGAGACATTTTGGTACCTTTGTTAAATAAAAATAAGTTTCATTTCTTTCCAGTCACAAGGTGGATGTATTTTACTCTGGGTGTGTAAAAAATTGATGTTAAGTATTATACAGCAAAACCCAAACAACACACTTGATATTACTTGATGATAAACATTATGTTCTTAAATGCAACTATAAACTGTGGATTATCTAAAAGAGAATCCAGTATGAGATGGCTGTCTTTTCCTTCGAGATCCTAATTCACCCAGAGACATATTTGAATGAATTTTATCCTCTACTTGATCCATTGTAATTGGCCACAGCCTGCAGCAAGTTCGTGCTTATTCTTAAAACAATTCGGAGCATTCAGGAGCCTTTCAGTACTATTAATAGGACAGTGCATTTGAAGGACCTTGGAAACTGATAGATTAGGGTCCTGGCCCCTGCAGCAGCCACAGAACCAGCTGAGCCTATAAACTGCCATGCCTTCTTTTGAACATAAGCTGGAAGTTACAGGGTCTGGGGACAATTTGGTAGAGTTCTATAAAAACCTTGGCTTATCAGAAAACAGCTAAAGGGAAGTGGTAAAGGGAGAGAAATGATCCTGTCCCTTGGACTGCAAACCACAGTCCAGTTGGCCAGATTCGGATTTTCAGCTATTGCCCAGCTGGTGAACAGCTCAACACTACTTTAGGTCATGTGATCTCATTTTAGCCAATTGCATGGCTTGGCAGACAACGACATAGTAAATATCTATTCACACAAATTGTATGCATACTGCATATGTCCATGTGCATTCTCTGCTTGTCTGTATTGATGGTAACATACCCACATAGATAGAGGGATAAATTGTGTATATAGGTCTGTACCTGGATATTTAACACAGTAATTATGTACTTTGATTCCTTCTAGGAAACAGAATGGTAGGAATAATCTAGTTAAATCCGTTTCTATGGGAATTTTTTGACTCCTTTTTTTCATATTTTCTCTAGTTGTAAAAATTACAGTGATTACACATCATAAAGCCTATCTGTAATAAAACGCATCAGCTGGCCAAGGTTTTCATCGCTCACTCAATAATCCATTAATACAGCAACGTTGCCCAGGCATCTTTATAATACCAACTCGGAGGTAATTTTAATCAGCTAGACCAGCTGGTATTTAACAGCAGCTGCTGGAGATGCCACAAATATACTCAATAGCTGACATCTTTATTTGCAGTTTTTCAAGGGGAGAAGAGATTCTCCTGTGGTTACTGGTATTAAGCATTTAAAAGTAGGTGTAAAGTATACAGAGGTTTCTACCTAAATGAGAAGAAGAGGGATTAATGATAAAACAAAGGTGATAAATTCTATCAGGAGGACAGGTTTGTGAATGAACAAACTGCTCAACTGAATAAGAACACATTGGTCTTTGGGTGGACTTCAGATCTTTTTCCTAGTTACATTTGCACTAATCGTGGCTATCCCTAGCACTAAAATTGTAGTCTGCTATGTGTAGCATCCTTATATCCTTCTATATAGAATTTGTAGTGGCCTACCTGCTACATAAAGCTGTGAAAAATAATTTGATTATGTGAAAGAGTGATCTGTTAATTATGCACATGGTCTGTCTCAGCCCCTGCATGCCTTGGCTTTTTTTGTGTTATGAATATATTTTCATTAATGTTCGATTTGATTTGTAAGTGAAAGGAATCATCATCAATGTGTTCTGTCTAGTAGTAAATACAGAATGCTATTTCACATTGGTGTGTATGAGCATGTGTGGGGGAAACAGGCATCGGCAACATGAAGTTAACAGTCACAAACCCATTATAAATAAAAATGTAATTACACTTGGGGGAGCTTGGCTTACAAAGCTCAGAAATCCATAATGGAGCTTGCTGGTAGTAAATGCCTGATCTCTTTGCTAAACTCCCCTGTTCCCAACCCCTTTCTCATCGTCTTTTAGCAAATACTTTGACATCTCCACTGATTAGAAATTAGTAAAGAGAGCTGACTTCCTGATTTAGAAAATAGTTGGCCTTTGTCTCTGGGATGAGGGTCTCACCTTTTGGTTGAATGACTAAAGCAGGAGAATTAGAGTAAAATAGGGAAAGTATAAGGTATAGTGATAAAAGCAAAGGTTTTTCAAGGCAGTTAATTACCACAGCTATAGATAACAGCTTTGCCTACAGATAGTTGTGTATTGAACTTGCTGGTGATATACATGTCTGATACTTATGTGAACAGAGGTGAAGTGGTTTTCATCTTCATAGAAAACTTCTCATGTCATTTTCTCGAAGACTGATTTCAAAATTAAAGTAAATAGAAAATAATAGAGTTATAGGCCTTGCATACTTGGTATATGAAATAGTTTTGTTATTTCTGACTCCTGTAGAGCCATCAAATGTTCTTTTCTTATGCTAATCGTCCCTGCTGGGAAATGAAGCATTACAAACCCCTAAAAAAGTGAAATGTACAATCAAACGTTCTTTTCTTATGCTAATAGTCCTTCCTGGGAAGTGAAGCATTACAAACCCCTAAAAAAGTGAAATGTATTACATGTTGCGCGTTCTCCTGTACTAAATTATCAGAGGTTAGCAGAATCCGTTGTCCCACCAAGTCTTCTGCAGGCAGCTCCATTCATCAGTGCCACTGCTTCTCTTTCTTCCAGAGCCGAATAGTGATCTGTCTGTGTTGGACGGTGATTGATACTTAAAATTAAAACCCAGTGACAGAATGGATTACGGAGATAGCAATTTGAATTTAGAAATTACTTAGCAAGCATTTTTTCCTGTTATTTGTAGTGAAAACAGTCTGTTTAAGTTTGTTTAGTGTGTTTGACAACAGACAGGTTGATATATTGCTGGGCACAGCGGTGGGTTGGACTTGAGTGGT